CAAGATCGCAGCCTCTCCCCCAAAGATCATGGTCGCGATTTTTGGCCCCTTGCCCGTTAACTTGCCCGTGTCTGCAAAAATCTATAACTAGGGGATTCCTCCCCTTGAGTAAATTGCATTTTGTCATATTTTTTTTATTCGATAGTGAGTTTATAGGAAGAAGTACAAGCTTGGAGAAGAACTTCGGAGGAGGATTTCTAGCACTCGAAAATCCTTCTTCATGTTTTCTTCCCATGTTAGTATGTCTCTTCTCTCCCTCTTCATCGAGGTAATCCCTCAAGGTACTTTGTGGCTTTGTCCCCCAAACCCTAGACTTAGATTTTGAATGTAGATATAATTGTGTTAGAGTTTATGAATGGATATGTTTGTTTTAGTGAATATCATTTATGTTTGATTATGCTTGGGTACAGTGGCGGAGGTAGCATTTCAAACCACCCTGTCCTTTTTTTCATAAATATATAAGTATCTAATTAAATAATTATTTAATAAAAATAATTATATCCGAATTATTCATTCATAAATTAAAAATAACCGATTATACAATCATACTTTTCATAAACAACTACGAAGGAATTTTATATAGTGAAAGAAACGCAAAAACATTCGTTGTCTACACTATTATATAAGTCTCTTTCAATGTATCTTACTAAATAAGTATTAGCAAACTGGTTGCCAAATCGCTTGGAAACCTGTTCTTAATATAACTCAAAGCTGAAAATGCTCTTTTTACACTTGCAGTTGTAATTGGTAGATCAAAACTAGTGGGATTGCCGTTGTTGCTTGACAATTTCAGGGTTGTTGGGGAAAAGATCGAATAAGCATAAGGAGAAAAGAGACCCGATTAGGTCTTTATTGCAATTGGAATTTCGTTTCTAGTATAATAAATTAATTTTATGTCAATTTTGGACAAATAATGAGTTGTGTTGTACTGACAAAGTACTCTAGGTGTTGTGTTCCATTACCAATATAAATATATATGGCGTATTTTTGTTCAACCGAAATTTACCCCTGTCCCGGAACAAGGCCCAAAGGGCCTGCCTCTGCCCCTGCTTAGGTAAGTTCCCCAACTCTTGCCTACTCGCTTACAACTGAGCTAACACTAGGTGGGAATTTTAGGTTTAGACTGGATAGCACCAACTTGCATATTAAGACTATATGAATGATCTTGGGGTTCCTTAGTGGACGGGGCGACCAAACCCCTGCTATAGGAATGGATTCCTAAAAAAAAGCTAAAGAAGTCGCACATGTTTTGACCGAAGCACGTCTCTAGTATGCATGATAGGTTAACCTATTGAGCGGAACTATGGAAGCAACCCTAGCACGTAAACTTAGAGTGAGGTGACATTGGGTCTTTGTGAGCCGTGTTAGGAGGAGGGAAAGATTATTGAAATCATCAGAATAGACAGTTTTGCATCCTATCCTATAAAACCAACATATTGAGCCATTATCAAGATGAACCTATGTTTAGGGCAAGGGAGGCACTCTGAGTACCTCTTTGCCTTTATCGATATCTAGGTCACTAATCCTTAACTGTCCACCTGCTAAGTATCATGTTGACTAGAAAACAAACGAGCGAAGAGTAGGCTAGGATACCGTGACCCTTTAATATACGATCAAGCCACCTTACTACATCCCTAACTAGGCTATAGTTGGCCTTGTTAGGATTGATTAGAGAGTATGCTTTGACTTTAGAAATTTAAGTTCGATTGAAGCAACAATAAAAAATCCTAATAGGTACATCCTGCTATCGAATGGTCTACGATAAGGTGTGTCATCAGCAGTGGAGCTTGAGCATAATTCCATGTGGGCCATTAATGAGCTCAACCTCGATTAATTAGGAATGGCTTCTATATTAATTAATGTGATCATCATATTTATACTCCATGTCATCCTCCAATTAAACCTAGCTAGCGGTTGTTTTGCCAAACTATGCTATATATCATTCAATATATATGCAAGTTAGCTATTGCTAGTGTTTGTATTGATCGATGGTTATATACCTTTTTACTTAATTTTTCTACTTACTGTATACTTAGGGAAGACTTTTTTTTTTTTTTGGCTTGTGAGCTTATATCCCATTTATGTTGGGAGTTTCTTTTAGATGAACATGCATCAACTCTCGACTTTACATAATCCATCTTAGCTATTAGTTTTTCGAGGATGCATTGCCAATGGGGGTGGCTATACGGTCCGGTCCGGTTAAATTGGCCCAAATTGATCCGGTCCAGTCCGGTCTTGATGACTAAATCCTTGCATGGTTATAAAAACTAAATGGTCAAACGTCACCCTAATTTTACTATAATCGATTAAGCGATTTGATAGTGTTCCTATGTATTTAGCTCATTGGCCCATTTAGTTCGTATGGCCTATTAGTCCCCATGCACGTCCCTCCCTTCTCTCGCATTTTCTTCTCTTTGTCGAGCCCTAGTTAGGGTTTTCTTCACACATATATACGTTGTAATTTTATTCCCATAAGATTAAGCAATCACAGTAGTAGCTCGAAGAGTCTTAAGGATGTCCCATGGACTAGTCCTGAACATTCAGGGATGCCACGTAAGATTGTGTTTTTGTAAATTTTGATTTTTTCCAGTATGTCTAACAAAATCTTCCTGGTAACACCCAAAATAGTGCTACTTAGACCTCGTATTTAGGGCCATTTTGAGTCATTTTGTGGTCTCATTGGTTGATACGTCATCAAATGCATTCTTATTTCATTCCTTGAAGAGAATATTGTCATATTAGGGTGGTTTAGATGATACAAACGTTTTAGGTACGATAAGGGGTCACAAGTGTAGGATTTTGTGCAAAAATGAGAGATCACAACCAAGTGCAAAGAGATCACAGTTAGGAAACAAGGGCATAAAGCTGACCATCGAGATTGCGACCTCCAATGCGAGATCCCAGTCGCGAAGATTGGAGCCATGGGTGCGAACTTCAGAAGCAGCCACTAAAGGAGGACCATAGAGTTTCGAGAGCCAACTCGCGACCCTCGTTGTCCATACACACGATAAAGGTCATGGCCGTGACATCCTGGATCGCGACCGTGATGTCAAGCCTTCTACTTCCCATCCTACAAGGCGTAAAAGGTGACCTCAAGATCGTGGCCTCTCCTTCATAGATCACACCCGTGATCTTATCTTTTCTAGCCGTGAACTTGCTGGTCAACCTAAACTCTATAAATAGGGGATCCTTTCCCCTTCACAAGTGAGCTAAATTCACTCGGCAAATTTGAGAGAGAATATAGAGAGAGAAGCTGAATGAATGAGAAGAAGAGAAGGAGGAGCCAAGAAGCAATGGAGCTCTCCCCCAACTCAAGTCTTCTTATAATTCTTGCTATGTATCTTCTTCCCCACTTTATGGGTACTAGGGGTTCAATCCCCAAACCCTAGATTTAGGTGATGCGGTCACACAATGAGCTTTACATTTATAAATACGATCCTTGACAATACTAACTACCCCAATCTTGAAAAAGTGCTCCTTAGATCTACGAGGTAGTATAATGTTAACCGAGGCAGTATTCCAAGGGTCACAGTATCCTAGGTTACTTAGGATACCCCAATCTAGTTGACCTGTTACTTAGCAGGTGGGCAGTTGGCGATTAATGAATTAGGGAACAATAAGAGAGAAGAGTTGACTGTTATGTTGCAAGGTCAAGACCGTCGACTAACGGTCAACCCGTCACATCACCACCAAGTCATCATGTTTTAACTTAAATATTAGTATTCTCCGCATCTCGATCACCATAGACTGTCATTCCATCCTTTGCATATTATCTCCAACGGTTAGAGCGAGGAAGGCACTCCGAGTACCTCTTCATTGTTCCCTAGTTCATTAATCGCCAACTCCCCACCTGCTAAGTAACAGGTCGACTAGATAACAACCGAGCATAAGTAACCTAGGATACCATGACCCTTGGGATACGACCTCGGTTAACACTATACTACCTCGTCAATCTAGTAAAATTTAGTGTTAGTTCAGGCCACGATGTTATATATTGAAAAAATTGATCATAATATTAAATATAGGAAAAGTTCATACCAGAAAAATATATTAACCCTAAAATAAACACACATTGAATTAAAATAATAAAATAAAACAAAATTAAAAAGGTTGTAGGATTCCTCTTCCAACTTCTATGTGAAGAAGCGCAGATTTCGACTCTCCCTTCCATTAATCCAAGTAACCACCACTATCACCGTTATTTTTGTCGGCCAATCATCACCATCATCATAGTTGCGGTACACGCCACCCCAGCTCTCTCCTTTGTGAAGAATTAAATCAAATTTTGGTTTTGATACCATACCCTAACCTCTAATGGATAAATCTCAGACCCCCAATTTTCTAAACCCAAACCCGAAATACAATTTAATATAAAATAATAATTGATCGTTGAGATTGGTGCGTAACTCATCAAGTACACATAACGAACATATCACCTGCTGAATATATATACATATTCACCCATTAATTCAACATTCTCAAGCTTTGCGCAAACCTAAGCATCCTTTATTTGGTAGGGGTGGTATTTAGTTTGCCGGTTAACGGTATAACCGGTTACCAAACCGGTAAGTGACAGTATCGGTTTCCGGCAGCAGAAAATTTATTGTTGGTATACCGAGTTCTACTGATATACCAACTAACCGAGAGACACCCTTAGCTAACAACAGGCAACATCATTCCTCTCCATAAATTTCACAAATGATGGGGCGACAACCGTTTTACTAAGCCTGAGATCCTAAACCCCATGTTGAACTCCATTAATTTATTGGGCATCACTAGCAGGAGGAATGTTTTATAGCGAATCGACATTCACCAGAGAGAGTGTTGGAAGCGGAAGCGAGAGATGGGGAGCCTCTCTTCCTGCCTGCTTCTTTAGCCCCGATTCCTCCGTTGCATCTCCATCTAAAAAATCTACTCCGAGATGGGAAGATTCTCTATGGACTATTATTCCTCATATTCTTCTTGTTCTAGCTGAAATTGTTAGCCTTGTAAGGTACGATTTAACGGTCATCAACATGGAGCACGACCCCAGAGGAATCATCGAGACTCTCCACTGCGTGCGAGATCTGGTTGCCTTGCGAGAAATAGAAGGTTGCCCACGCTTCTATCCCGGTCCAAATAATACTGCCACCGAATCCATATCTATCCCCGCCAATTCCCAAGATCTTCCATCCCAAGAAGCTTGCCGTCGCGCCCCGTGATTCTTCTGGAATCTCATCCATAGCCAGAGCGAAAGATGGTGCTCAGTGAAGATAGCAATTCTGCCTTTTAGCCCCTGCTGCTCTCCATTGATCAATTGCGGTAAAAAGCCATGACGAGTTAGGCCATCGGATCGAAAAAATAGCGCCGCTTTTTATTCTCTCGCTATCGTCACCTAGATCGCGACCCGTACCTTTTTGCCTTCTATCTCATGGGATTGAGCGGATGCTTGGGGAGGTTGTTGGTTCATGTAGTATTTTAAAGGTCAAGGGGAAAGCCGGGTGGGGGTGGGGTTTCCTAGGGTGTAATTACCCGGGGTTATTTGGGAATTTCATAATTACGATTGAGGTGAGTTTAATTCGAAACTCAATTAAACCGCACATAACTTCCTCATTTTTAGTTCTCATTGATATTACGGTGGAATTTGACGAATTTGAACCAAGGCCATAATGTTCATTTTGACTTAGAAAAAAGATGGGGTGTAACATTTCTCCCCCCGTTGGAAAAATTTCGTCCCCAAAATTTACTCGAAACTCATCTATCCTTTAACACCCTTCTTGCACTTGCTTCCCTGAAAAATTGATTCTCACTACACGAACTCCAATGATATCTTTTGCTCACCCCGTATGGTTCACTATACCACTCATAGTTCCTTCTGACCATCACTGATATCACCACCTAGATTGTAGCACTCGTGTAACCTTGAGTGACTCACTGCCCTTTCTATTTCACAACTTGGCCCAAATGTGCAATGAAACAAAATACCGATTTGGTTTGATTTTCTAATTCAATTCACTTGGCAGTAGTTGTTGAACCTAAATCAAAATCGAGATATCACATTTTCTCCCTCCCTATGAAAAATTTCGACCTCGAAATTCGTTCTTCGTGATGACTTAGCATTTCACCTCATGTAATCCTTCTATTACAAGGATTTATACTTCCTCTACTTGTATGACATGATCTATAATTCTTCTCTCCACTCATTGCAACTTCAATATTATGGTGACTTCTTAACTCCTCACATCACCTATGCACCCTTTGTCGTTTGTCGGGAAATTAACTATCTACATTATTCGGTATACGAGACGTAAATGCTTATCTGGAACCCCAAGGTTACAGATGGCGGCTTATCCTCTATCGAGTCAGATGGTAAAACTCCTTTAACGTAACTGTCGTCCGGAGTTGATGTTACACCCCGCTCTTCCCAAAAGTCAAAATGACTATTTTACCCTTGGGTCAAGTTCCACCGTATTATCGATGAGGACTAAAATGTAAACTCTCGGTTTAAGCGGTGTCGAGTTTTGTCATAAAACGAAAAAGTTACATACGTTAATTGAGTTTCAGATTAAACTCACCCGTTGAAATTCCCAAAATACCCTTGAACCACTTAAACCCTAGACCCGCTACCCCCTCTCGCCTCAACCTAAAAACTAATAAAACCCTTGCAGCCCATAACCCCTAGACGCCTTTTCATTTTCCTTACAACTCTCGGCTCTCAGAGGGTTTCATGGAAACCAGAGGCGCCGCAAAAGGGAGATAGGGAGTGTCCGGTGGAGAGGGAGAGACCCTCGATCTAAAGGAAGTAAGGCGGCACCCGACCAGCAGCCTCCAAAAATCATCATTGCCGCTCCATGCCAGGTTCATGTGTCATCGTTGCTGAGAAGTAGTGCAGGGAGGAAGATGAGGTAAGCACTTATCTACCTTGTCCATATGTGCGTGCAAGGATCATGAAGATAATGGGAAGGGTTGGAGTATAAAAAAGAATTGGGAAACATAATATTTTGATATATATATATTTTTCCTTCCGTGAACTGAGAATTAACCTTGGGAAGGTTGGTGGGTTAATCGTCCTTTAGTGGATGTAGTGTTGGGTTATGAAAAGTGGTGATGGAGCGTGGTTGGATTCTTTCACAATAATCGATTTGATAAAGCTATCTAGTTCTTGTGCATAATGGAAAGATCATGTGGCTATGACTTTCAAGTGTCCATCTGTTAATTCTTAGGGAGTGAATCGAATAGTCAAGGGAGCTTTGCTTCTAATTACTTAATTCATGATTGATAGTAAGGATCGTGAAGGGATTGTTGGTAAATTGTAGAAATTTGAGGAAATATACATGAAGAGTTTTAAGAGGTAGGAGGAGGGATGCTATCGAAATCGGAAATTGATCATGGGATATTACGTAGGTTGTGAAGCATGCAAATCACGGGAAACTAGCATGAGCATGGCTTGGAGGATTAAGGAGTTCATATCGACTGCGGAGTGCAACCATTTATAAGGTTAGTGTAAAGGGGGTAAAATCTCCGTCGAGGTCTTTTAGTTTATGCCTATTTAATTCAGTTATGTTATTTAATTTTCAAGTAAGCGCGATTATGTGTGTGAGGCATCCCACCGCCTACTTAAGGTGGAGGCACGCGTTGTGCTATGTATATGTGTGTTTGTGATGTATGGATGATGGTAATTGAACCCCCGGGCGGTTGGGCCACTACTGGACACGGTAGATGGTCGGGTCACTACTGGACGGCGATACGTAACGCAGTAGTTGACCGGGCATGGACTGGACAGCGATACGTAACGCAGTACCATTGCCTTGAGGATAGGGACACCGGAAGGCGATACGTAACCCGGTGATTTCCCAGTAATAAGTATATAAGTTAAGGTAGTAGTAGAGAACTTCTAAGATTTAAGGTTAAAAGTTGAGAACTTCTATGAGTTAAAGTTGAAATGAGTTGTGAAGGATGAAAGTGAGAATGACTTTCATCTAAGGAAAGGAAACGCTAATAACTTGTTTTAGTAAGGAGATTTCTAAGTGCAGAGACCTTAGAAAGTAACGACGAGACTGACCCCTTCTCACTCACCAGGTTGAGGTTGGGTTAGCGGAAGTGCATCCCGAGAAGAAGTAAGATGAGGTGACCGGCCGTGCCAGTACTAGTGAGAAGTCAAGAAGCTGGGTGAAGGGTTGGAGTTAAAACTTGAAAGTTATTTTATGATTATGATTATGAGTATATGTACTGGAGATTCAAGGTTCAAGATGTTGGGTTAAGTCGTTTAAGTATTTGGATTTTGATTGCCCAAGTGTTAGGGCTTTTCGTTTGAACTTTCTAATATAATGTCAGATTGTTTATTTAAAAAAAATGGTTTGGCTGCTCCGGAGTAACCGGTTTTTGGGTTTGAGTTGTGGTTTGATTTTCGAAAAAGGTCGGGACGTTACATTTTGGTATCAGAGCCGGCACTCCTCTGTTTCTTGGTCTCCAAGGAATACTGGAGTGACGATCTGCGTTTTTCAAGGTTTCAGTTTTTTAAAAGGAAAGGAAAAAGGGAGTGTCTGTTAAAGAGTCTTTCGAGAATTTTTAGAATCTCCAGTATACTCTATTCATGAAAAGGAAATAACTTTAGGATGCCCACGGGGTTATGATACATCCCGGGAAGGAGAAAGAGCAGATGATCGTTTAGTGGAAAGCTTTTCATGAGTGAGAAGAGGAGGTTCAAGGCAGCTTATATCCTACCGGGATGCGAACTGATCAGAATAAGGTTCAGGAGTATGCCAAGTATCTAGCACGTCGACGGACAGTAGCCAAGGAGTTATGGCAAATGGCGGCCATAATCTAGAGGAAAGGATGTACGGAAGGTTCGTTGAGTTCGTGAGAATCGAGCGTAGGGCTACGACCCAAGGAGAGGTTAGACTTTAAGCAACACTAGGGGCACATAAGTAAATCATGGAAGAATTCAGTAGATCATGGGGAGCATGAATGGGTTTTAAGGGATCAATGAGTCAAGGCTTGGAGGAGGCACAATCGTGTACTTACGTGGACTGGGTAATCCCTTAGGGATACAGTACGTCCCTAAGAAGAGGAATCATGGATTTGGGGAACTAGATCAGAGGAAAGTCATTGAGATGAAGGAGTACATCATCAAGAGTAACGATGTAAATAATGAGGAAAGAGCCCGCGCACTATGTAACCAATAATTACAAGATAGAGGATACTGTATTTGAGGGATTCCACAAGTTACAGTAGTCACAAGAGGTCAAAAATCTAAGGGATATGAGGAGTATCTTCGGACCAAGGTATGATAAAATTTGGGATCTCAAAAATTTTCTAGGTAAAGTCATCAAACCGACCGAGGATAGACAGGGAAGTAGAACGTTTGAAGGAAGTTCTAACCACTAACAGAGGAAGCAAATAGGACTTTTGAGGATGAATTTTCGATGGATACGATAAGGTGGACTTATGTAACACATCAAGAAAGAGCGGAAAGGTAAAAGAAAGTTGACGTAATTCCAGGGAGTCTGGTGGCGAAGTCTAAGGAAGCCAGTTCAAAGCTATAGCGGGGAAGGGACATTAACAACTTCGGGTAGTGCATGGAGGATGCACATGTAAACTCTAAATAAGGTGGTTGAAATGAGGGTAAGAGACCCAATCTCAAGAGGACGCACACAAAGAGTCTTGTGTGGAAGATATCACCAGAAAAAGAGGAAAGCACTAAGTGACTTCATCCAAGGTGCTTCACTCTGAGTGGGTACAAATGGTAGGACGTCATCAGGAGAAGGCAACTAGTTAGGGGTAAGTCAGGGACGTCTAGAGGAGATGGCTAGTTAAGGACTAAATCGCACTCACTTGGTTTAATCACTGTGAACCTAAGCTAAGAGATTAAGGCCGGAGCCAAGTAGCGTCCGGAGTAGACACTGCGGGGGACATGTGGCAACCCTACCTAGAACAAGCTTCTGGGGGATATGTCGACTCTGAGGAATGATGAGGAGCTACTAAACTCAGTTAAGTTAGCAAAGTTAGTACCAAGTATTGCTAAAGGAGTTGTGGAAATAAGGAACTAAGGAGGACACTACCAGTCTATAACGAGAGTGGTAGTAAAGAGGTGGCAGTCGACCGGTCGACGAGTTCAAGGAGAATGATAGATAGGAAATGATTGATGAAAAGACAAGAAAGTCAGCAAGGCGACATTAAGATGACTGCCAGCAGAGGGCAGTTGGGACCATAGGAAACCCATCGAGAGCTGAGAAGCTCAGTG